CCGAGCGCAGCTCCCCGGTCAGCCTGCGGGAGATAGTGCGCTACCTGGGCGGGGATGGGAGCGCGGCCGGGGGCGGACGGGTGACCCGGGGCCGAGTCCAGGGGTTGCTAGAGGAGGAAGTGGCCCGCGGGAGGCTGGAAAGGACCCGCTTCGGCAGCATCGCCCTGGCCCGGGCGGAAAGGGGGCCCCAGGGCCGCGCCCCCCACGCCAGGGCGCACCGGAGCAAGGTGAGCGCGGGGGAAGGGCCTGGGGCAGGTGGCACGAGTGTCGGGGTGGGGGTGAGCGGCGCCCCGACCCCCGGAGGGACAGGCAGGAGTTGGAGGGTGAGTGGTGACCCGGGAGGAGGGGCAGTGGCTGGGGCGGGAAGCCTGGGGCAAGTCGCACGCGAGTACCAGGGTGGGGCAAGGGGGTGCGGTGCCCCGGAGGGGGAGGAGCAGTGTCTGGGGGCGGGGGGAGTGATTGGTGCTCTGGTCTGGGGGGGGAGGGGCAGTGTCTGGGGGCGGGGGAGTGAGTGATGCCCTGGTGGGGGGAGGGGCAATGTCTGGGAGGGGCGGGGGGAGTGAGCGGTTCCCCGTGTGGGAGGGGCTGTGTCTGGGGTGGGGGAGTGAGCGGTGCTCTGGTCCCGGAGGGGGGGGAGGGGCAGTGAGGGGCAGTGCCCTGGGCCCCAGGGCAGGTTTAGCTCAGAAAAGGGTCGGCTTTGGGTGTTTGGGATAGGACCTGAGTGTGGGGTGGAAAGGGCTGCCCAAGATAATGATGGCTGGGCGGGGGTGGGGTACATAGGAAGGGGCTGCACATGGAGTAAAGGGATCAGGGCTGCTTGGGGCAGGGATGCCTGGGAGTTAGGGGTCAGGCAGTACTCTGGTGCTTGTTTCCAGGGAAGGCACCAATGACTAGGCCCTGGGGCTGCCTCTTTCACTCCTGTACAGGCACATGCCTGGGGAGTCACAGGACATGCAAGGTATCGAGAGGCAGGACTGCCTGGCACACCGTGGGGCATCTGGGGTGGGAGGGACCATGGGCAGTACCAGTCAAAGGAGCTTAGAATGAAAGCAGCTGTGGGAAGCGAGTTGGGTGAGGTCCAGGATTGTTCCAGCTTAGGGTGCGAACGCTGCTGTAGCTTCTGATCTGCTGGGGCCTCCTGTCCCAGCGAGATCCCTGGTGGTGACACCCACCCTGGCTGCGACGCGTTGGGCTGGACGGTCTGTGTGATGGATGGGTCTGTTCATACAGCCTCCAGGAGTGCTACTCTCACAGCAAAGCATCCAGGAACAACCCACCTGCAAGCAGCTTCCCGGGACGGGCCCAGCCCTGCCGGATAGCCCCCTGGCAACCAATGAGGGGCCGAGCACAGCCTTACGATAAGAACAGCTTTCCTGGGTCAGCCCAGTGTTCCATCTAGTCCAGTAACCTGTCTGAAGGGAACAGGGCAATTAGCGAGTGATCCATCCCTTGTCTGCCGGTCCCAGCTTCTGGCAGTCAGAGGCTTAGGGACACCCAGAGCATAGGGCTGCCTCCTCGACCATCTTGGCTAATAGCCATTGCTGGACCTATCCTCTATGGACTTATCTCATTCTTTTATAAGCCCAGTCACAACATTCCCTGACCACGAGTTACACAGGTTGGCTGTGTGTTGTGTGAAGTACTTCCTTGGGTTTGTTTTAAAGCTGCTCCCTGTTAATTTCTTTGGGTGACCCTTGGTTCTTGCATTATGTGAAGAAGTCGATAATACTTCTGCATTCACTTTCTCCACACCACTCCTGATTGTATAGACCACTATCATATCCCCCCTCCCCCTTAGTCTCTTTTCTAAACCGAACCGTCCCGGGTGTTTTAATCTGTCATACAGAAGCTGTTTCAGCCCCCTAATCATTTTTCAGAGGGGTAGCCTTGTTAGTCTGGATCTGTAAAAAGCAACAAACGCAGTGGGTATTCACCCACGAAAGCTTATGCTCCAATACGTCTGTTAGTCTATAAGGTGCCACAGGACTCTTCGTCACTAATCATTTTTGTTGCTCTTCTCCATGCTAAAGAATCTTTTTTGAGATGGGGCAACCAAAACTGCATGCCGTATTCCAGGTGTGGGTGCACCATGGATTCATATAGCGGCGTTGTGATATTTCCTCTCTTACTATCTTTCTCTTTGCTAATGGTTCCTAACATGCTGTTAGTTTTTTGACAGCCCTGCACATTAAGTGGATGTTTTCAGAGAACTATCCACGATGTCTCCAAGATCTTTCTTGAGTGGTAACATCATTTTGTATCTGTACAGTTGGGATTGATTTCCAATGTGTTACTTTACATTTATCAACATTGAATTTCATCTGCCATTTTGTTGCCCAGTCACCCAGTTTTGTGGGATCCCTTTGAAACTCTTTCCAGTCAACTTTGGACCTTGAGTAATTATGTATCATCTGCAAACTTTGCCAGCTCACTGTTTGCCCCCTTTTTCAGATCATTTCTGAATATGTTGAACAGAACGGGTCCCAGTACAGATACGTGGGGGACCCCGCTATTTACCACTCTCCACCGTGAAAACTGACCATCTGATCCTATCCTTTGCTTCCCATCTTTTAACAATCCAGGGCCCCTGATGCAGCCCTGCCAGGCAACCCTAAAATCTCTGCCTGTGTTTTGGGGTGGCTGTGTTCTTTGTGCAGTGCCCAGCCCAGTTCTAACTGGGACCTTTGGGCACTACCGTAATATAACTATAATGAGAGCACTCCTCATGGGCCTGGCTGGCAGCCCGGCAATAACAAACCAGGCATCTCTGGCATGGCCTCCTTGTGCAGGCAATGTGCGGGGGGAGGCCGCTGATGAAAGGAGAGACAGATTTTGCTGAAGAACTTGGACTTTCACTGTTTTTGCCGCGATGGTTGTAAAAGAACAAAGCGGGGGGAGGTTTATTTTCTATTTAAAAAATATATATTTTTGTTCCTTTTAAAAGCAGAGGGGTGTGGGGGTGTAATTATCTTCTAAATCCTAACGAGCTATTTTAACAGGCTCTGTTAAAACTAAATTGGGAGCTCCTGATTTTGCTTCAGACGTTTTTTGTTGGAGTTAGATTAGCGCCTAGATGCCTCAGCTGAGATGGGCAGGGGGAGTGGGTTCCTTCAGGCTGGGTGCTGCACAGGCCCCCATCTGAGATTAGAGAGCCACCATTGTGCAGAGTGCTGCACAGGCCTGTGGGGGGAGAGAGTTCCTGCCCCTGAGAATTTATAATCTAGACAGACAAAGGAAGGATTATCCCTGGTTTACAGCTGGGGAAACTGAGGCGCAGGGCAGTGACTTGCCCAAGGCCACTTGGCAGGCCAGTTTCAGAGTTGGGACTAGAGCCCAGGTCTCCTGACTCCTAGGCTGGTGCCACATCCACTGGACCATGCTGCCTCTGACCTATTTCTACCCCCAAAGCTCATGTTAAGTCCTTTGTCTACAACAAACTCTTCCCCCAGTCCAGTGCTGCCATGTGTCAAAGTGGTCCTGGAGCTTCTAAGAATGGGTCCAGCTGGACGTGCGCCCGGTAGTCTGCTCCGGCAGAGGGGTTGCCGTGGCAGCTGGCACTCTCCAGGAGGAAGTCTCTTCTGATGAGGTAGTTTGTTAGCCCAGCAGCTTCCTGTTTGAGGGTCGATTTTTATGCTGTCACCATCTCGCTGTGGTTAGATGCTTAGCCCTGTACCCTAAGAGCAGGGCCGGCTCCAGGGTTTTTGCCACCCCAAGTGGCGGGGGGGAGGGGGGAAGCCACGATCGGCGGCAGCTCCAGCGCACCACTTTCTTCTTCGGCGGCAATTCGGCGGCAGGTCCTTCCCTCCAAGAGGGACAGGGACCCACCGCCGAAGAGCCCGACGTGCCGCCCTTTCCCCTTGGCCGCCCCAAGCACCTGCTTGCTCAGCTGGTGCCTGGAGCCGGCCCTGCCTAAGAGTTGCCTAACACTAGAGCAGGCAGAGTGCTAGAGAAGGAAGTATGGGGACTGGAATAGTGGGGGTGGAGAGCTGTGGGGGTTGGGATCAAGGAGCACCTCCAGAGCTGGGGGGGACCCAGATTTGGACTAGCAGGGGGCTGCAGGCAGGATTGAGGGGCATTCGGGGCATTGGCAGAGCTGTGGCGGGGGGAACCCCATGGTTGGGATATCAGGGGGCTGTGGATCGAGATTGAGGGGCGTCGGCAGAGCTGATGTAGGTGGGGAGCCCAGGGCTGGGTTACCAGGGGGTCCCGAGTCAGGAAAAGTGGCTAGATGGGGCCCAATGGTGGGTAAAACCAGGAGCCCCAACTGTGCCCAGAAGATGCCCTGTGCAGGGCACAGGGGAGCAGCTTCCTGGGGTCTCTAACTCTGGATTCTTGGTGTCCACAGAAGGCCGGGGAGGAGCCATCGGAGGAGAAGGGGGAGGAGGAAGAGGAGGATGACGAGGCTTCCACCATGTCGGAGGGCTCTGAGGCTCCGGACTACGAGGGGGCGGGCGCCGGGGCTGGGTTGGAGAGTGACGGCAAAGCAGCCCCCGCTGAGCAGAGCCAGATGAACGGGGACTGTAAGGACAGCAGGCGTGGTGGGAAGGACTGTCCCACGGGGGGTGGCCACGCCAGGGACTTGCACCCCCCGGAGGAGCACTCCCCGGACAAGGGCTCCGAGCGCCCCCACCGCGAAGGCAGCGAGAGGCGTCATGCCAAGGCCTGCTCCCCTGGGGAGAGCGCCTGCCAGCAGTTCGGGATGGGCAAGAAGGAAGGGGGCTCCTACGGGCAGCCAGACAGAGCAGGTATTGGAGTGGGGGGACCCCAGGGGCTGGAATTTCTCTTAGGGAAAGGGGGTAAGAGTGAACCAAGGGTCTGTTGGGGTGGGGTGAGGCTGATGAGGTGCAGTGGCTGAGATCACTCGTGAAATGAGTTTGGCAGGTCTCAGCCTTGGGGATGTTGTGAAATTCTGCTCAGCTGGGCTGGCTGACTGCATTTGGGGACAGCTCTGGAACTGGAATATCCAGGGGGCTGCAAGATGGGATTGAAGGGCATTGGGAGAACTGTGGGAAGGGGGAGCCCAGGGCTGGGATAGCAGAGACTTGCAGGTCAGCACTGAGAAGCATCAGCAGAACTTTAGGGGCGGGAGGAAAACCAGGACTATGGGACAAGATTGCGGGGCATCAGTTGGGCTGGAGGAGATAAGGGGAGCCAAGGGCTGCGGTGGGCCAGTTTCCTCATTTTCCATGGGGAGGTGAAAGCCCTGTCTGATTGTGCCATGCCTGACATCTCTCTCTCATTCTCTCCTGCTTGCAGTCTCTCCAGCCGTTGCGGGCGCGGACCCCCCTGTGCCCTTGTCCCCCGGGCGGCCCGGTGTCCAGGCAGCGGATGGGACACTGTTCAGCTGCGTGTAAGTCCTGCGCTCACTGGCTTCTTGCCTGCCCGTCCCCCTCGCTGCCACCAGGGGGTGCTCCTTCTGCCCAGTGCTGGGGCTGGTACTTAATCTGTGAGCCCTGTGTGAGCAGGTCAGACTCTAAGATGTCCCCGTCCCACTGGTTATCAGCCCCTCCTGCGCGGCTGGGTCCTTAAATCTCCACATGTGACATGTTTCCCTGCTGCTTCCGCCAGCCCCAGCGACTCCTGGCTGCACCAGTGCCCCAACCCCAGTGGGAGCCTTCAGGGCCTGCCACTCCCATGGCAGGGCCGAGGCCCTCCATGCTCTGGCAGCTCCCCCATTCCCTTCCTGCCTCCATTAACCCTTGGCTGCCTGGGGACCCCTGTTGCAGAGAGGGACTGGCTCTCAGCCCCCTCCCCTCGAGATGTCAGGGGACTCCCCCTGGTGCGGGTGTGGGAGGGGATGGGGCCAGGGAGCTCAGGCCTGGTGATGAAGGCAGGTCGGGGACTGTGTCTGCCGGGGAGGTGAGGGTTGTGGCCGGGACCCTGATCACTCTGTTCCCCATCCCCCACCCAGCTCGGTGAAGAAGGAGAAGCCCTCAGACCCCGTGGAGTGGACAGTGATGGACGTGGTGGATTATTTCACAGAGGCTGGATTTGCAGAGCAGGCATCTGCCTTTCAGGAGCAGGTCAGTGCAGGGCTGATGGATTCTTCCTAAAAGTGTGTGGGAGTGTGGGGGGGCTTGTGGCCCCTCCCCCTTCGTGGCCCCTCCCCTTCCCCCTGAGGACCCACCCCCCAGCCAAGCCAGAAGCTGGAGCCGGGCCGGGGAGCGTGAGCCCCTGGTTTCAGGCCTGGCCTGGGGGTGGCGCCTCGGGGGCTGAAGAGCTGCAGCTGGGCCTTGATAACAGCTGTCTGGGCACGGACCCTCCATTTGCTCTGGGCGGGGGGCCCGGGGGATGGGGACACGGGTCGGGTGCTCCTCTTGGGCCCCCCCACTCTGGGCAGGTGGAGGGGCCCAGGTTCCCCACAGTTGCCCTGGGGCCGCTCTTACCTGGCTGGGCTCTAGCTCCTGGCCTGGTCAGGGGGCAGGGCCTCAGGGAAGAGGAGGGGCAGGGAGCTGGGCCTGTGGTGAAAAGTGGATGGGCCTTGGCCCCTCCTGTTCTGGCACCCCTGGGTCAGTGCTCAGGGGTGGGGGCAGCTGCCATCTCGGAGGCAGGGAGCAATGTGTGGAGAGAACCAGTCCCCTAGAGGAGAAAGGCCCCATGTCCCATTCCCCAGCCCATTAACCTTTCCTCTGTCGCCCCTTGCAGGAGATCGACGGGAAGTCCCTGCTGCTCATGCAGCGCACAGACGTCCTGACCGGGCTGTCCATCCGCCTGGGCCCCGCGCTGAAGATCTACGAGTACCACATCAAGGTGCTGCAGCAAAGCCACTTCGAGGAGGACGAGGTGGATTCCTTCCTGGGCTGAGCAGGGAGAGGAGAGTCGCAGCTGGGGCCGAGCGGGACTGTGCCAGCAGCCACTGCCTCCTGCCGGTCCCCTCCCTGCCTGCTGCACCCCTTCTCCGGGTGCCTTGGGAATCAGCCCTCCCAGCGTCTCTCTCTCTCCATAGAAACAGATGAATGGGGGAGTGTCAATCAGCCTGGGGCTTTTGGTGCAGGGGGGAGGAGATGGAAATGACCCTGGCATCCTAGCTGCGTCCTCCCACCTCTCGTGATTAAGCCCCAAGTGGTTGGGGAGGGGTAGAAAAAACTGTGGTGGGGAGGGAGTGAAGGTGTAGGCTTCGGAGGAGGGGTTTACAGGGGTGTTTTTTAGGGGGAGGGGGGAATCAGTGCCCAACACTGCCCCCTGGCTCCTCCACTGTGTGTTTATTCGCTTGGTTAGTCTCACATCGTAGCATCGTTGGCCATTTCAAGCTGGGGGCAGGTGGGAGAGGTGGATTTTTTGCTCATTTCATGCCCAGGAGATGTCTGAGGACTTTGAGGGCCTCTTTTAGCTCTGCCCCTCCCCCCACCCTCAACTCAGGACATGGCACTCTGGTTTGATCTCCCCTCCCCCTCTCCCCCCCCAACATCTGGTCTCCCTGCCGTCTGGATGGGGTGGGTCAGGGATTTTTTGGAGGTGGGTGGGGCACTGGGGGGTGCCCTGCATCAGGGGAAGGTTTTAACAGGGGATCCTTTTTATTCTCTGGTTGGGGTGGGGGGTGGGGTAAATATATATATTTTTTTTTACACACATCAATGGTTGCTACCCAGAGTCAGTCGCTTTTTAATATCGCACCCTCCCCTCCCCCCACCTTCCTTTTTTTTTTAAATAAAAAAAAATCTTAAAAACAAGAGAAACACCAATCGGTTCATATTTCTGGACCCTTTCAGCATGGGAGGGGGAGGGCAGAGCTTAGGACAGCCGAGAGATGAGTAGTGCTTTTGGGAGGAGGCTGGGAGTCAGGACTTCTGGGTGCTGTGCCTGGCTCTGGGAGGGGAATGTGGGCTAGTGGTTAGGGCGAGAGCTGGGGGTCAGGGCTCCTGGAATCTGTCCCCAGCTCTGGGAGGGGAGTGAAGTGAAATCTAGCAAGATTATTCCCACTTTAGAGCAGGGATGTTCAGTGTTAGATCAGTAGCATAGAACCTAGGAATCCTGACTTCCAACTGCCCCCCTCCCCACTCGACCCTACTCTCCTCCCAGAGCTGGGAGTCCTGTGCTTTGGCACCTCCCTTCCCCCCCTCCCCAGCCTTTGGGGAAGCAGGTTGTTAAGGAAGGAGTGCTGGCTTCCTGTTAGCCCAGCACTGAGGGTCCAGTACCCAGAGGATGGAGGTGTTTCCTCTTGTGCTGACCCCATCCCAGGTAAGAGCTTGGGGGTGAAGGGTTTGAATCTCAACTCACCTGGCTTTGCTCCTGGGGAGTGGAGTGGGAGTGCTTGGAAACCCCTTGGGGCCAGAGCCCTTCCTCTCCCCATGCTCCTGAGGGCTACTTTGACTGCCCCAACCAGTGCCTGATTGTTGGAGGTGCTCTCTCCATTTTGTGCTAACCCCAGTGCCCCATGAGGGGGTGCCGTACTGCAGGGTGGGGGCTCTGTAGGGGGCACTCTCCCCTAACAGTCAGTGTTGGCCCCAGTGTCACACCAGGGGCTGCCTTGCTGCAGGGAGTGGGGCAGGAGCTCAGTAGGGGGTGCTGGCCCCAATAGACAAAAGCAGGATCATTACTCCCATTGTATAGGTGGGGAAACTGAGGCCCAGAGCATTAGTGACTGTCCCAAGGTCCCAGGTGGAATCTAGCAGACCTGGGAATTGAAAGCCGATCTCCACAGGCCCCCTTGCATGTCTGATTCCAGGGGGCTCTGCCTAGCCCAAAGGGCAGGCAGAGCAGGGGGAGTTGGTCCCTGTGGCTGTGGGAAGAGGGGCCATGGAGAAAGGGTGGCTGCTGGGCACAGCAGCCAATATTTGCTGAGCTGGGTTTGTCCATTGGCACCCCCAGGGCAGTGTCTGTGCCCCCCCCCGCAAGGCACGCAAGCTGCACTCTGACAGCGATGGCATGGGACAGAGCCTGCCCTGTTGTGGAACGGCAGCACCGCACCTGGAGCAAAGCTAGAGCCATTGACCACCCATCACAGAGTGGAGGGAAGATGAGCTGGGGCTGTCCCCTGGTGGAGGTGCGGGCCAGGTGATTCTCTGTCCCCACTGAAGGGGGGAGAGAAAGCTTGTGCCTCTTCAGCTGCCCCCTGATGGCAGCTGCCTTCTGGTGGGAAAATAGAAATTGCCAGCCAGGGCCTCTGCCCCCCTGTTCCACCGAGCCTGTATCCCTGCAGTGGGAGCACCCACCAGCTACTGCTGAGGAAGGTGGAAGAACCTGGCAGATCTCACTCTGGTCTCCGGGGGAGAGTGGTTTAAACCCTGAGGTATAATATCCCTGCCAGAGGAGAATTACAATTCTGTAAACATCCAACTTGGGGCTTGTTGACCTTGATTCCATGGAGGAGGACAGGACTAGCGGGAGGGGACTTCAAAGAGCAAGAAAGCAAAAATCTGCTGCAGAAGGGATCTAGGCCCAGATCCTCATGGGTGCATAACTCCCATTGATTGCAATGACTTCCTGTTGATTTCAAAGGGAGCTAAATCCTTCTGCCCATCCAATTTATCCAACAATATCAGCTAGGAAACAATCATTCTTAGCTCTCCCATAGCACCCTTTACAAAAGTGAGCAGTATCAGTATCCTTACTTTAGAGCTGGGGAAACTGAGGCACAGAGCAAGGACAGGACATGCCTGAGGTCACCCAGCAAAATTGGGACTAGAATCCAGGTCTGTTGGCCAGTCTAGCGCTTTGTCCCTGGTTAAAGACTTGGAGATCTTTAGCTGCTTTGGCAAAGCTTGAGTTGTCTTTTTATGTATTTATTTAAGTGCCCAACTTAAGATGCTGCTGTGGCCTGTATCAGTGAGGGGATGCTGAGACTTTCTGAAAATCAGACCCTCCCCTCCCCCACCCCCCTCTGCTTCCTCTTTAAGGCACTGTTGATTAAATCCCCATCCCAGCTGGGAGTGTTCCCATGTCAGCTGTGGGCCACCCAAACTGCCTATGCAACAAGAAAGAGATGGGAGATCATTACTAGCTTTAGGGGAGGCGGGGGAGTGGAAGAGCCACTGCAGGTTTGGGAAGCATCAGAGGTTGAAAATTGTATTACAGAAGGTCTTTGCTTTTAAGTCACTTATTTGCAGTTACCCTCTCCTCACTGAATTTGGAGGGTGGGGGTGGGAGAATGGCTGTATTTTACTCTCACTGTAAAGAGGAGGGTTTGGAGATTCTTGGATTGGGAATTAAGGGATCATCACCAACCTAAAGAGAAGCAGCCCCACTCTAGTGTAATTCTACAACCCAAGGGGGATCCCATTCAGCAGAGTGTGACCCCCAGAGAGGCAGGGGGTTAGAGCAGGCGTCTAAGGCTATGAGGTGTGAGGTCACGTTGCTGCTCAGCTGCCAGTGGCTGTGACCCTGTGGGAGTCGCAGCAGCCCAGCTAGCATGGGTGTATTTAGCTTCTAAACTTGCTGGAGAGAGATCTTAGCATCAGTGTGGCCAGTTCTCTGAAAATGTCAGCTCAGGACCTACTAGGACAGGGACAGAAAATACCATGAGCCTATGCTATAAACCCATGGGGGCACCCTCTCCCCTCTTGTGTGTGGGTCTAGCTGTCCCATCTCAGAAAGGATCCAGGGAAACTGGAAAAGTTTCATATAAGGGAAACAAAGATGCCCCAGGATTGGGAATGGCTTCTATACAAGGGGAGATTAAAGCAAGTTGGCCTTAGAGATAGGTAAGGGGGGGATATTATAGAGGTCTATAAAATCACGACTGGCAGAAAAGTCTCCTTTTCCACATTACAGAAGTGTAGGGGAAGGGGGGGTGTGTCAGCTGATGAGATTAAGAAGAAGCAGGTTTAATACAAAGATGAGGAATGCAAAATAACTGTCTCAGAAGGAATTCTTTGGCAAGGGAGCTGGGGGTCATAGTGGATCAAAGAAAGCCAACATCATTGTGGGATGTATTAGCAGGAGCATTATAAACAAGACAATTCTGTGCTGATTAGGCCTCAACTGGAGTATTGCATCCAGTTCTGGGTGCTGCATTTCAGGAACAAGGGGACAAATTGGAGAAAGTCCAGAGAACAGCAACAAAAATTATTAAAGGTCTAGAAAACATGACCTACGAGGGAAGATTGAAAACATTGGGTTTGTTTAGTCTGGAGAAGAAAAAATGTTGGGAACATAAGTTTAAGTACATAAAAGGTTGTTACAAGGAGGCAGGTGAAGAATTGTTCTTCTTAACCTCTTAGGATAGGACAAGATGCAATGGGCTTAAATTGCAGCAAGAGTAGTTTAGTTCAGACATTTGGAAAAAGTTCCTGTCAGGGTGGTTAAGCACTGGAATAAATTGCCCAGGGCAGGGGTGGAATCTCCATCACTGAAGGTTTTGAAGAAGCAGTTAGACAAACCGCTGTCAGGGATGGTCCAGTTCTTGCTTTGGGTGCAGGGGCCTGGACTAGACAATCTACTGAGGTCCCTTCCAGTCCTGCGAGGTCTTTTTTCCCCCCACACAATTAACCTGTGGAACTTACTGCCAGGGTGATAGCCCAAAGCATAACTGAGTTCAAGAAAGAACTAGACTGGTTCATGGAGAATAGGGTCAGTACTGGCTCTTGGCCAGGGATACAACCCTCTGCTTGCATTGATGTTAAACCTCTGACTGCCAAAGCCAACATCCAATCACACTTGCCTTGGTCTATACACTCTCCCTGAGGCTCTGTCTCCAGGCTAGTGGCCAAGATGGATCATTGGGCTGACAGTAGCTCAGCTCCATGCACCTTGATTGATTTAAAGTGACAGCACTGGAGGGACTCAGCAGCTGCAGCTTAAGACCCTTGTGTGTGAGTAAAGTAGGAACAATAGCACCTCACAGAGGTTGTGTGACATGCTTGGATACCATCAGGCCAGGGCCTGTGTAGTAGGGCATAGGAGGACCACACAGAGGCAAAGGGACTTGGTGTGTTGGCCTAGACTAGTGATGCTGGCCTGTTAAAACAGTAAGGGGCTGGTACATGAAAGGCCATGGGACCTAGAGTAATCAGAATCAGCATTTTCCATGGGCCCAGCCCTAGCCTTGCACCTTCCCTGCCTCAAGACAGTGCTTGGACAAAGAGGATTATTTGATGGAGATTAGTAATAGCTAGTTATTACTAAAGGCTGCTGCTTGTTTGCAAAGTCTCAACTTCCTCTGGTTGAGTTCAGGCCCAACCTTTCAGCAACATGGTGTAAGACAGTTCCCAAGGAGGTGGATTATCCCATTACTGCTCCCTTCCTTAGGCACCAGTGAGTGGGAGGTAGTTCTTGGGTCAAGCATGGCTCCTGTTTTCACCTTGGTCATGTGAAATCATCTACCACAGCTACTACTGGCTTCTGGTGAAGCCAGTGACCTGCCTAGAGCCTGCTACATCTTCAGAGAAGCTGCAGTGGTGAATACAGCCCATGCATCCTCCCCCTCTGCAGCCAGCTTCTCCAAGCCTGGGTTCAAGACCTCTGGAAGCAGAGAGGTGATAGAGCCTGCAAGTCAGGACACTGCATTCTCTTGCAAGCTCCATCCAGTCTCTTCCCTTCTCTGGGTCTCAGTTTCTCCTCCCACCCTTCTCAGGGTGTAAGCTCTGAGATGGGGCTGGGTGCTGCCTATGGGGCTCACTCTCAATTGGGGCCTGTTGGGAGTATCAGACTTCGTGAACC